CAGTTTTGGGGGCAGTTCTTCCTGTTTGTCCAGAAGCCTTCTCATCAGGGCTCTATAAATACAGAACTACGGCAGATGTGTAATATTTAATGCAGCCGAACCGTGTATTATAATGCCGTTATGTCATGACCTCCAAAGAGAAAAGCAAGCAAACTCGGAATAAAGTATTCTTTTATTTTTAAAAAACTTTTCCGGATTTCACAGGAAACAGGGAGTCCGGCTAACTAAAATGTCCGTGCGGAAACAGCCGGACTCCCATAGATCCGATTACACACATTCCCTCAAAACTCACCTTTTCACTCGTGCCTTCAACTCCTAATCAACTAACCCCTTGCCTTTATTCCACCTAGCTTAGCACTCTCTACTTTTGTTGTTATTTTGTTTTACTTGCTTATAAGCGCTTTGAGCACCAGGAAAAGCGCTTTATAAATGTAATCTATTATTAAATTAAAATAGACTACAAACAGTGTATTCTCAAAGGATTGAAGCATTGGCTAGTTATTTCTTGATGTTTTGTGCATTAAGCATTCTGTTATTAATGTTTTCAATAATGTACTATCATCTCAAGGACCCCTTGTGGGCTGCTTCTGTGTATTTCAATCAGGAGAGACTTCATTTTGTTTAAAGAACATTTATTGACACATGTCATATGATAAATGTTAAGTCTTTGGGGATTAGACCCCGATCCTGAAATGGTATATCTAAAGGGGGAAATGCAGCCGTGAGCATATAGGGAACCCCCCCAGAGTCTAGACACTGGTGATGATGCTGAAGATCTGGATTGGATGAGGAGATGGGATGAAGAGGAGGTGTGATGAGGTCTTTGGATTAGCTCTCCTGGCTCTGGATATGATGAAATGAGGTGGATGGGGAGGGGGCGGGCGGCAGCATGAAAACCTGAAATCACAGCTGACTGCAGGAGAGAGGAGAACCATTTTAAAGTTTGGCTGCAGCACGGTATTGGCTGCTGGAGAATGAGCTGAAATGTAATAGGTTAAAGAGAACGCCCGTGATGAGCTGATTATATGCAGCTGCGGAGTGAATGTATATATATAGCCAGTCTTCCTGAAAGAACTTGCGCTGAGCTTCATTTATCTTATTGTCATAAATTGGCCAGATTTAAACATTTTCATTTCATGTATTCACTGTTAATTATTCAAACGTAATAGTAGCTAGGAACCAGATATTACAATCTTTAATCTCTTCTAAAATAAATAAAATGGAAGGTTTATAAAATGGCACTGTAATCGAGGTCAATCCGTCATCTGATCAGTAGATGGATGCATTTTTCATAAATCTCATAGACTTTTGGTATTGAGACTGAAGTCACACAGTGCACACCAACATAGATGCAGATTTGTTTTTAATTGCAAAATATAGGGGGGGGGGAGGATGCATTCATATGGAACACAGTAACATACCATAGGGTGATATGTTGTTCAGCCAGTTGTGTATTTCCAACTATTTTGCCTTTAAAGTACACATCCAATAAAGAAAATATCTCCCCTAAAATCTTTTCAAACAACCTAAAAAGGAGTGCAAACGCTGAGGGAGCACAATTCAAACACATGTTACTGACATACTCTGGACTGAATTTATTTTGCAGTCATTTTCATAACATACTGTACATGTCAACGAATATCTAAATAGTATTTCTCAGTATTGCATCATGCTAAGAATTTAGGATTTTGCACAACACGTGTTTCACTTAGAACAGATTTTCCGTGGTCGGCTGTTGCTTTCAGTTCAATACTAGCAGGAGGCAAATTCAATAATTCTGTGTTCTAATTATGGTGTATATTTTTGCTGATTAGTTATTTGTTAGTTAATTAGCTCCTTTTTTATTAAGTTACAATACCAAAAAAAACATGGATGATAGACAATTTGCATCTCCTCTATTGGATGAATTGAAAGCAAAAGCTAACCCAATACTTTATTGGACTCCACATTACATTTCACAGAAAACACCTGCAAGAGTTTGCCATACACAGGATTATGTAACTATATCAATATCTAAATGCAATCTAGTTTGACACAGTTTCAGATAATAAGTGTTCATTGCCTGTTGTAAACACACAAACTACCACTACAGGTCAAGTCCTGCATACAATGGTGTCTATTTCACAAAGAACTGAAGTTAAGTGGAGGTAGAGCTGGGCGAAAAAAAATGTGAGGGTATTCATCTAAACTTTCTGTTGTGTTAATGATGGAATTACATCATCTCTTGGTCAACTGTGTATTAAAAGCATTAGGTGGGTGGTACCCAATCAATTCAAACAATTGTATCAAGCAATGGAGTTAGCAAATGGTATTTTTATAATAAGTATAGTAGTATCAAATAAAATGTTATTCATTTCGTGCAATATCGAAAAAATACAAATTTGCTTCAAGAAACTGCCACCTAAACAATACGTTTTATATATGTTTTTATAAGTCAGACCAAAATTAAGAACTACCTACAAGGTCAAAAATCAAAGGTTGTCTCCGACAATCTTTGATCAGATTTTTGGTTGGTCAAATTAAGTGGCTATACAGTTTTACAGTTAACTGATACTGTTTTTTTTCTAAAGCTCGGAAATGGTTTGAGCTTTACACCATATTTTACAGTTTTCATTCTCAAGCAATTCATTTTGTAGCTTTCACTCAAAATACATATTTTACAAGATCAATAATTGGTTAGGACGTTTCAGTCGTTGCTTGCTCTCTTTTTAGTGTTCATATTTAGCTTCATTGTAAATGCCAATTGGACAAGTATACATTTTAATGATATGGTATTACATGGTGGTATATCACATTATGGTATAACACATCGCTCAGCACTAAATAGAGGTAAACAATTAACCTATCATGATCAAATCCCCTCTGTGCCGTGCAGCCCACCAAGACACATCTTCACTAGAGGGATTGCATGCATGGATCTGGTGTAGACAAAGGAAAGACTCAAGCATGTCACCACCATCCTTGCAGATTCACAGTATTCAGAGATGACGTCAAAGGGTTTACAATTGATATACAGTGTTGGTCCAATTGTATGTCGTCTGTGGTCTTCATCATATTTGGTCAAACAGATCTTCGCTGGCCTTGTGCGTGCGCCCGGTTCACTATATCCTGGTACATCTTGGACCTGAGGAACCTTGGGTAGGAGTCTTTTTCCATGAGACTGTAGACTTTGGATTGGACTTCATTGAGGCTAGTTGGGGATGGAACCTTAAGAGTCTGCTTGGTCTTTTCCCTGGTGCGGTAGTCAATGTTTATCTGCAGTGATAGGGAAAGCATCATGTATCTTATTATAGCAGGATATCACAATCATAGTACAATTTCTACAATTTATAATGATTATTATTGGAAAAAAGGTCCTTTCCCAAGCATCTTTCAATAAAGGAAGGAACACATAAGCTCAGTCACAGTCACACACCTCTCTGGGTGCCTGGTTGTCAATGAACTCATGGAGGATCTTGTTTGCTTTGGACACAAGCTTGGTTGAGCTTTTGAGTTTCTTGTACTCCTCGCAGGCCATCCAAAACTCGATATTCTCGTCACTGAACTCTGACTTGAGAAATGTCCGGAAGGCAGCCAGGCCATCTGGAAAAACAAATGAATCAGACGATGACGGGAGGAGGTAAAGACAACAAAAACATGATTAATACTGCTGCGTAACACCTATTTCGGTAAAGCAGGATGCTAGATGTTTTTTTTTCTTTTTAACATACAGTAGTGTTGATTATGTGATAATAACCTTCATTCTATGTTGATGTTTTTCTAGTGCGTACACACTCTCTAGTTCCCAGGAGCGGGAAACAGCTTTCATGATTGGAACACAAACAAATGAGAGCAAAATACTCCCACAGAGATCTTTTTTGTGCTGTCAAGATAAGTGATCAATTAATGTGCTCCCCATTGATGATAACAAGGGCAGGTTTTTCTATGTGCCTGTGTCATGTTGACATGTCATTTCCATCCTTCTCAGCTGCTGCTTACTTAATAAAGCTATACAGAGAGGAGATGGTCCAATTGCATATTCCATAAAATTACTGAAATTAGAAGGACTAACAGACATTATCATGCATATAAACAAAACAACATGAAGGGTTTAAATGGGCACAGGATTACACAAACATACACACACTTTAGGCTGCCTTTAGAAAACCACCCCAACAAACATGTTAAAACTAAAGGAAAGCATACGTCAGGCAATGGACACAAGCTTTTAGTGTCCAATCTTATGTGCTTGAGCTTTTTTTAAAAGCTTTTAAAGGATTCCCACCTTAGTAAAACATTGTGTGAAAAGATCCCAGCAAGCACAGACTGAGAATGCAACCTTCAATTTAATTATAATCTAGCAGCCAATCACAGATTATATGTAGCATTTATTTTTATTAAAATTCAGTTGTTTGTAAAAAAAGTGGTCAGATGTTTAAAGATTCCCTACAAATATTGATTGGCCTCAAAATTGCAATATTTTTTGATAATCTAACTTTTGGAGCCAATCTAGTCAACACACAATTTAAAAAAAAAAACTTTTAAAAACATAGCCAATAGCATCATTATTTTAAACTAGATCAAACCCAAAAGAAAAACAACACAAAATATGGTAAGTATTAAGGTAGCTTTTATGTGGAAAATAAAGAGGTTGAAGGTATGGTTGCTTGTAAAGTGGTTCACACTTTAGACTGAGGTTATGGTGAAGGTTATGATTTGTTTGGAAGTGTTGGCTGAGAGAGAGAAACCAATGACAGCTAACAAGAGACTTGCACACGGAAATATGGTGCAAGAGAAGTACGGCATGATGGCCCTGAAGTGCAAGTCAAAACAGCATTTCAGGAAACACCGCAGCATTTCAGAAAACGCCACAGCATTTCAGAAAACGCTACAGCATTTCAGGAAGCACCACAACATTTCACAAAACACTACAGCATTTTAGAATGGGGCTCACCGTAGTGAAGACTGATTAAGGCAGAAATCCGGAGCAAAGATCCGGAGCAGTTCACAATAATGTTAACACAAATTTAAGCAAGTAATCTACCTTAGAAAATCTAAGTCAGTGCAGCAAGGGAACTAAATGAACTGTAAGGACCAAGCTGGGAGTATTATCCACAATGCACAGCAGCTGGGACTGAGTCAATCACTGGAGACGCAGATGTAATCACACTGGGACCCACCATGTTTTTTATTTAAAACCTACATTGTTGCATAGCTTAAATCACTCCGGCTATGCAGCATTTTTTAAATGCTTAGATTTTTGTTATTTTTCCCTCTGCATAACAGGCTTGGCTACAGTACAAACTGCATCTCTATGACATAAGCTTAAAAAGCAAAGCCCTCACAGAGTGTTCTTGTTCTCCCTAGACACATTACAGCTGACAGCGTGCACAAGTCTGGCCACCAGCAAACACATAATCAGCTTTACACACTGAAGAATGACACTAGACTGCAGTCTGGTCTAGTTGTAATACACAAACCATCCTTATAAATTGAATAAGAACCTAGCTTAATGCAATATCCAAGCAAGGGAACATTCAGTACTGTGTTAATCTTTGCTTTACCATTCCTTCTAATGTAGGTTGGTGCATGTACTGTACATGTATGTTTTAGTCAGCTGTAAAATCCTTGGTCAATTGAAACAGGAAAGTGAATCACAGTGTCTTCGCCTGGGGAGGGCTGTGGTCTTGGCTTGGTTATTTATTTTCGTAGGTGACATAAAGGATCCATTAGTTATGTTATGTCACAACCTCAATCTGAACAAAATGAATAATGTTCATGCGAGTGCACACAGTTCTTCTCAGTGTATATCTCTAATCCCTTACACAGTGTTACATATAATCACTATTATCACTTCGATGACAGGCAATAGTGGTGCATCAATGTTTTGCATGCTCAGGCCAAAGCATTATAACTTAACTTGGGTGGCGTAAACAAAGACGTTGTGCAGGAAATACGCATAGTTGTTGTTTTGTCAGCTAAAAGTGAATACAGTTGGGATGCAAATATCCCATTATTTCATGTGACATCATGCTTACTTAAGAGCATCAATCACTATAGGAATTTGCATTAAAAGGCAAAGAAAACATGTGGATGGAGACAACTAAACTGGGAAGCAAGGACTTCACAGTTGTATCTTCTGCATCTGTGGCTAATTCATGAACAATCTCAACTGGAAGAGTAGACAAAAGAAAATCCCAACTTGATGAGCAGAAAAATGACAAATATTTTTGTTCAAACAATCAAAAGAAAATTAATTTTGATAAAGGATTTATCGTTAAAGGCCATTCGTCAAGCAAACACAACAAACATCTTCTGGTTCCAGCTCCTGTAATGTGAATATTTGCTGCTTCTCTCTGTTTAATATGAATGTAAATAAAACATATTTAGGTTTCAGGCTTACGATTGCGCTCTGGGACATCCTACAAGGCATTTCAAAAAAATTGTTCTTGTGTGCATTGCTGCCTACAGTAGTCTGTTTTCAAAAGAAGCTTGTCACTATCCCTAGGGGGCATTGTAATTATGCCAACACCCAAAAGACCAATACTTGTTATGTTTCTTTTAGTAAATAGTCAGTACTTAGTTTCCCAGTACACCTATCTGTGAAATAGTCTGTATTCTTATATGTAGTGTGTCTTACCTCTGAAGGAATGATTTTCTTCTACTTACACTTTTGGGGTTTAGTAAAACACAAGCATATTTATAGAAAAAAGTAGATTTCCTTTGTTTGTGCATACTGTATGGATGTTTGTGAGTGAGTCTGTGCCAGTGTGTATTTGGTCCATTGAAAAAGTAAAAGACAAGGGTGTATGTTTCATTACTCGGTAGGGGTCCTCGCTGCACAATGAGACCCTGAAATAAAATGGGCTTGGCAAGGGAAAATTGAGTGAAACATTTGAAACTATTAAAGAAACAGCAGAGGGTAATGTTACTGTTACATTTAGGTGGCTACAATTTTCTTATTGCCGGGATTATGTGACTTGGGCAGGGGCGAAAAATAGAACAAGTCTACTTACATTTGTGCGAGAGGAGATGATCAAACGATTCTGACCATCGAACAACCTCATCCGTTGAAACTCTGGTGGAAGGAAAGACAAAGGGAACTGCCTGAGAAAGATGCCGACCACCCACTGTTTGTTAATGCATTTTTAACACATGATGGTACTGTATGTATTATTAAAAGGCAGCCAAGTTTGATGTATGATTAATTTCCTGCTCACAGCAGTTCTTCCGCTCAAGGCAGTCAAGTAATTGTAAAATGTGGTTGCATTTGAAGAATGATGGCGGATGTAGAGGAGATAGAAGATAAAACAATAGCTGACAGTTAACGCTATTTTATGAAATGTTATCATGATAGGAAAAAACCTTCTCTAGAAGATTAAACACATCAAAATTATTTTACCCCATACATATTAGTAGATGGAGACATGAGGCTATTTCTGAAACTAAATGTGAAGCTAAATACCAACATACATAACACATATGGTTTATGGTGTGGTTTTATGTTTAAGCATCCCGGGTTGACTTTGGATATTAATGCAAAAAGAAATTCAAGGAAACACATTTTTTAAACAGCATGTAGTTTAAAGTTATTATCCATTTGTAAATGTTGAAATATTTGCCAAAGAGGTATTTCTTACTCATGTCTGACCTAATTTGGTGCTTAGTTTTTTATATTGGTCATAGCACGGCAACTTAAGCCTAAAGCAATTTAATCACATGGAGATAAGTGATTTTCTTTTACCTTTTGATTTTGACGCCATTTTAACAGTCAAGTCTGAAATTAAAACAACTGCTGACTTTGAATAAAGATAACGTAAAAAAATACAATAGGCAGTGGCGAGCCGTGAGGGCCATCTAGGCCCTCCTAAGATATTCTAAAAAATATTATTTGAAAACATATAAAAAAGGTATATATTTTTTTAATATATTTTTTTGTTATATTTTTCATTAGTTTTACCAACAATAACTTGATTTAATTGTATTTAAAATAACATTTCCAAAGAAATAAATCCTTTGAATCTGCCTGTTCAGTTTATGTTGGAATGTGAAGGGTTAAATGAAAGAAGCTCCTTTTAGCCCTCTCTGTGAGTTACTGTGAAGACAGGAGCTGATTGGTGGCCCCATCTGTACATTCACAGAGGGCCATCCACAGTAACTCAACGAGAGAGTAATGTGAAATGACAGTAAAATTGACCAATCATATCTTCCCTCTAAATGGGTGGACTTTATTTTCGCGGATGTCATGAAAAGTTACTCCCGCTGTGAAGTTGATGCATGTGTGTTATAGAGTGGTGCAGTGACGCGTCGAAAAAACCCGGAAGTAAGCTAGCATGGGTTTCCTCGACAGAAAGCAATGGGATTTCTCCATAGGATTTTCAAAAATAGCTCGAAATAAGGTCTGTGGAAAATGAACCTGTTAGATAAATGCACGTTTTGTTGAGCCGGATAATACCCACATGTCTACCCTACTTTTTATAATTTTCTAATCATAAATCGAATCGATAGATTTATGATCGATAGATGATTAGCATAAGTTCTTTCATGATGGCTCATGTCGGTGATAGTGATGATATCCTTGCGAAATTATTAACCGAGTCATTTTCAAGATTAAGTTACAATGATAAATCGGAGAGGCAAAGGATCAGCTGCATGACCTCGCCATCAAGTACTTCATCCAAAAGGACAGGAGGATGGACTTTGTGTTTAAGGGATTTGATCATCAAAGTTAGGCCTAAGTAATTTTCGATGTGGGCCGCTGTGCCAACTTAATTCATTGTTAATTGTTTTGGTTGTGGGTGCCCTGTCATGATAGGTATCTATATAAATGGTGTTGTTTTGTGTGGTAGAGGGTCGCTCTCATTGATGCGTTTTGCACCCCGGCAGTTGTTTTGATATTCCGCTGAAATATACGCTGTGACGTAATAACTCTTCTTTTTTTTTTCGAGGGAAAGGGTTGGTCAGAGGGCCTAGGTATAAAAGTCATGGCTCGCCACTGACAATAGGAATGCTCAAATTTGAATTAGGACTTAAGAAGAAGTCAAACATTTTTTTTCATAACCACTGAAACTTTGAAAGCCAAGTCTGGTGTCTACAAAGTGTTTCCAACACAACAGAAACTCGAGTTTTCATTTGAACATTTTTGGCAGACTCACTTCAGGCACCTGGCGGTAGTCTCGTTGGCAGGAGGGAGGAACTCGGAGAAATCACTGTAGGAGTCAGACTTGTGTGACAGGCAGCCTAGTCTAGTCTTCATGGTGCTGATCCTAAAAGAGAAAACACAAAATTATTTGCAAGTGTTCTACTTAATAAGAGAACCACAAACCTGAAAATGTCGCATATTTCTAGCAATGCTACATTTAGATGATGCTTGGCTTTTACAAGCATCTCAATGAGCTCAAAATCGTTTTTGAGAGACCTACAGCACAATAAGAAAAAAAAACATAGTAATACAAATTATACATTCAACAAAAATATAAAACAGGCATTAAAAACACAGGCAGTCATAAGATACAGTATCAGTAGAATTTGAATTGATCTGTATATCAACGTTCAAGATTGGCGATGGTGGATTGTGTTGATGCTTGGAGCTTAATTTGGGATTTTAGGGAACTGCTCAAACCTGAAAGCTATTTGCTTGAGTTAATGGACTCCACCACATGAATGGCAAGGCTTCTAAAAAAAATGCACTTAATTCTCCAAACCTCTAACAGGTTGTTTTGAGTTATCATATATTAATATTTACGGTAACACTTTATATTATGGTACACAAATTAACCATCAACTAGTTGTTAATTAACATGCATATTAGCAGTATATTGGCTCTTTATTAGTCATTATAAAA